TCGCATATACACGCACACTTCAAGGTCATCCTACACATGATTTGTTAGGACCAACATGCAAATATGCAGATTTGGGTACACTCAACCCTCTATGTTCGCATAAACACTTAGTGCAGCACAAAACACTTGAATGACACCGAAGATGCAGTATAATAAAGGCTAGTATTGCCACGTAAAAGACCCCTCGCTATGTGGGATATAACCCCTTTTGGTAGTAAAAGTAAAAAATCACACCTTGGGTGGAAAGGTAAAAATGTCACACCCATAAACACCTGTCTAGCGCCTGACGCTTCTAAAAAGTTCCAGTAACAATCTCACCAACTACGCATCATGCTGTTGTTGCAATCCATGATGTTCCTTTTCCTCACTCTCACTCTCCCTCGGAACAGCAAAGCTCTTCCTGATAGCCATATCCGCCTTGGTCTTGGTCATCAACGCATCACGGATATCCTGCTTACTCCTTCCGGCCCAGGACGTGTAGTTCTTTTGGCTGAGGGGCCAGATGGGCATGTTACCGTCGCGACGCATGAACTCACGGGCGGTAGGAGCGGGCTGGGCGGTGATGGTGTCAATGTCCATCTCGAGCTCTTCACAGTAGGCCTCGAGGGGTAGATCGTTGACGTCGTGTCCGAAGGGGTTTTCAATTTCGCGGCCAATGGCTGAGAGACCGATGCTAGATGGATTGTTAGATTCGTGTATGAGTGGGGGATGTATATTTCGACAAAAACTTACATAATGTAGGCAGCGAAGATACAACCTGGGATAGTGATCCAGCGGAGGTCATCCCAAAGTTGGAAAGGCAACATCATAACGTAAACCCATGTGATTTGCGAGATGGCGATAGAGTAGGCGATAGGTAGAGGAGTTTGCAGGACACGGTCCATACCAGTAAGGGCCTCGTTCAGCTGTACAACACCGGTGATAGCTTGGTTCTGGTAGAGACCGACTTTGAGCGTTTCATTGTCGATGATGCTGTGGACGTAGCAGGAAAGGTGGTTCAGAATCTCAAGAGACAAGTTACCAAGAGGCTTCTTGGAACGCTTAATCCTCTTGCGGGGGTTGGACTCGGCGAATGTAACACCAAGGTATTCGCCAACGGCCTTGATCTTCTTCTTGTCGCCCGGCTTGGGAATTTCGAGGTCAGCAGCGCGGGCAAAAGTATCCAGGTATTCGATGCGGTCGCGAAGATCAGGGTAGTCGATACCAGGCTCGAAGCGGAGCCTGTGCTTTACAGAGCAGGCAAAGGCGTTAAGCAGGTTGAGCGCAGAGAGCTTGTTGAGCAGGTCCTCCTTTCCAAGTTCGCCTTCGCGCTCAGCAGTGTGGTACCAGATTGTTCGTGCCATATTCTGACTGACGAAGATCAACTGACTCCAGTATTTTCGGCCCTCGGTGTATCGCTCATACGCAGTGCTTGTTCGGAAGGAAATAGCAAGACCGACGACGAAACCGAGCACGGTCAGAAGGAGTGTGCTGACTTTAAGCTCAAAAATGAACTGCGAGACGCATGTAATCAAGGTAGACCACAGAGTCACTACTGTGAGTGGTATTATCATCTTGGGAAAGACGGAACCGTGCATTCGCATAAAGTACGGCCATTTGCTGTGCTTGGACAAGTCGCGAGGACCAACCTATTGCTTACTGTTAGCAAGCTGTGAGTCTGCAGCAATTGTGAAGAACCCACAAAGTAGTCCTCAGCATCCAAGCTACCATTAGTCTGCCTTCGTGAGGGGACTTGGTATGTAACAGTACGGTGTCGCCATGACCGCGGTGATATTGGTCCGTCAAACTCCTCGTTTGGCTTGGCTGAACCGCTTGTCGAAGGTGGTATTTCGATGTTATCTGGCCGAAGCGTCTTCGTAGTCGAAGCGTTGGACGCAGCCATGGTGTCGGTGAGTCTCAGGTTTAGAGTAAGCAACCGTCCAGCAGTTGAGAGTAATGCTTTTGAAAGGACAGTATATGGTCAATGCTAGCGAGTGTGTAGAGATGATGGAGTATTTTGTAGAGACTGGGAATAAGAAATAAAGAGAGGGAAGGAATGACAGAAGCAAGAGTATGTAAGTAATGAATCAAGCGAGCAAATCGTCCCGTCAGGAGTAAGGATCTCCAACTCAATGTTTAAATATAAAACACGCGTATCTGCACCTCGCACAAAAAATCCTCGCAAACCCATGGCGCCCACGGGGATTCGCTCCCGCACCTTTGGCAGCGCCATCATGGTCTAACATGCGATCCGCGACACACGTTGGCATGCAGGGGCCGTCTTGCACATTGTGCCCCTGAGCCAGACAGACGCGGTCTGGCCAATCGAGTGTGGGGTGCAGTGGAGTCTCTTCGTAAAGTCGAGCATGGCGACGAATGACGGTAGGGGCGCAGCCTGAAGCAGCAAGGGGCGTGACGCGGAGGCCCTGTTTCACGAAACGTATTCCGCCGTGCCAAGCGCGCCACTGAAAGTGTTGGATGCGATGTAGTCAGCGCTGGCACGCCTCATAGCTTGACTTGTTATCCGCCACTATGATCGGACCGCTATCGATAGCGATCTTTGGAACACTATAGCTGGTGTGAAGACGGCTGCATAACAGGACGTGCTGGTGCGGACAATTCGTGTTCGATCGACAAGACTTTGTGTCAGGATAAATGTTCTCGTCGATGCTGGGGTGGAAGGTCCAGACTAGGGCGTGCCGAACCGAGGCTAAGATTACCCCTGACAATGTCGACGAATGGGAACGCTCGCGAACGATTCAACGTGAAAAAGCCTCGTCAGCAATTTCAAGAGCATCGGGAAACTACTCAGGCGGGCAATTTGGAGATTGGCATGCAAGAGGGCCGCGGCAAGCTAGCTACGACGCCGCATCCGCAGCGACGCGGAACAGGAAGGCTAGCTTGACTCTATGGGACCTCGTCTCGATGAACCCGCAGCATTAAACATGTCAAGCACGACGTGTGCATTACACAAAGCTACAGAACGGTTTTGCTTCGTGCGCGTTCTTCTAGACACATCGAAAACGCACAGAGCCTTTACCCAGTCGCTTCATCTCCGGACGCTCGATCACTGTTCCCACACCGCTACGAATCTCTCCGATCAGAGAAGGAAGGAAAGCCCTTAGCTATTCTAGCGGCGCCTGCCTGCCTACCTCCTCTCGATTCTCCTCATCTCGGCTCTTCCTCTTTCGAGCTCGACAGCCAACTCTCTCGTCTTGAAAGTCTTTCCATCTACACAGACGCGGACTCTGTTGATCTTCTCTAGTAGCATTCGATAGTACCGTGCCTGATAATCAACCGTGTTGAAGTCGTTCGCAGTCCAGATCTTTTGCCAGATGTTGACTAACTCGTGGCTGATAATGACAATAGGGCTCTCTGGTTTGAAGTATATATCGTGATCCATATCGTTGCTACCATCTGGACTGGAAGTCTGGGAAGTATTGCCCAATAGGCATGCAGGCAGCAAATTCAAGACGACTTCGTCAATAAATGCTACCTTTCGACTCCTATGAATGGGGTCCGGGCCTTGCTCGAATATATGCTTGAGGACTGCGCATATCTCCCATGCAGTTTGATCATGAGGAGGGAGTCCGCCTGTCTTGGCTGGTGTAAAGAGGCGAATGTCTATCCGTAGCTGCTCAATACTCGTTGTGTAGGCTGGTGTCTTCGCGACGTTGCCGACAACGTGGTGATACGTTCCACCACCAAGAAACAGAGACGCCCAGCTTGATAGGAACCCACTAAGCCACACGTGCCTATCCTCATCTCCGTTTCTGGGCGACTTGTTCTTTTTTGTCCTGACGAGCGGCAGGGAAAGCCAAGTGAAGTAATGTGTTCCATCAATTTCCACACAGTCCATGCATGCAGCAAGCCCCCATTTCCGGTTCGCTCTTGCAATGATTTGCATCAGTTCCTCATTAATTTGACGGTTGCATGCCAGGAAGCTAGCACAGGTGGGCGGTGTGCCCTGTGATGCGATTAAACAGCCATTCTCCCACGGCCCTTCGGGTTCCCGTACGCGGCACCAGCCAGTTGCTGATTGTGTGTTCTTCAGACTTGGAGAAGGTCGACAGGATAAAAGCAGCTCTGTATATATCGCATCGCGCAATTCGCGGGGAAGATCTAGGAACCGTACCATTTTCGATTAAATGTTTACTCTGCTATCACAGTCATGCAAGGATTACAATGCAGCTGTCAATGTAGAGACGTCAAATCCACATCATCTCCACTGTATTGGAGCCTCGCTTGTCGCCCTCAGTACAAGACGTGATCCGAATCCGAAGTCTGGGGTAATACAGGGATGGATGGCGCCTTTCTTCTCTTCTGCGGTGGCGAGTCTGATGGCGTGCCTGAGGCTTGTTTCAGACGTGCAGGTACACCTTGTAATACCGCGGGACACTAAGTTTGGGATGAGTTTTGGGGGACGGCAGATAGCCGTGGTTTAGGAGCTGCAGAACTAGAGGTGACTCTGAACTTCTGAGTAAATTGAAATACGATGCAAATCAGCCAACTTGTGAGGTAGCTGAGATGCGTTGTGCTATAAGTCGGAAGGTACGGGGTTCCGGGACTTCCTACAAGCACGTGGCGTCATGCTTGGCACGAATCTGGAAATTCATCGGACTACCGTCGGAGTGTGAGGCATGATCTCAGCAATATGCATATGTTCGAGTCAGAAGACTTTTTCATCCTGAAGCACATGATTGAATTTGCCATGGTTTTGACAATACACGAAATACTAGGAGTACCAGAGGTTGGATGAAAGCTAATAAGTTGATGTTTTCATTGAACGACAAGGAGATCTTTTTATTCCACAAGAACTCCCGCTAGCAGTAGCTATGCTTATCTAATGTAATCGGACGAATATCACGTTAACATTGGCTTCTCGAGGAAGACAATGACAGAGGTGACTGGGTCAGAGAGAGTTCGGAAGTGAAGCCGACATGTCTGTCGACGTGTGCAAAAAGGGTATCACGTTAATCTACTAGGCAAGCAGAACAGCGGTGACTAATGGGAACAGATGTCTATGACTCTGCTGGAGCAGGGGCCTCTGTGGGCTGGCTTGAGGCAGGGGCCTCTGCGGCCAGGGCTTGGAAGCCTTCGGTGGTGATGTTCACCGCGCCAGCTTGTACAAGCTATACACATGTTAGAGATGGAATAAAACTTTTCGACAAGGCAAAACTTACAGCGCGGCTCAGATCATCCAAGAGATCTTCAGGGTCCTCGATACCAACACAAAGTCGGATGATGTCTTCAGGCATGTTCCTCTCCTTCCTGGTCTTCTCATCAATGCTTGCGTGACTCATACGGCAAGGCATGCTGATAAGGGAGTTGACGCAGCCAAAGCTGACACTAATGCCCCAAAGTCTAGCGCTCTCGACGATGCGTTCGCTGATAGTGACGTCGCCGGTTTCGAAGGACAGGACAGCGCCAGCGCCACGTGCCATACTCCAGTGCAGATCGTACTGGGGGTGTGATTTCAAACCAGGGTAGCGGACCTTGAATCCGTGGGATTCGAGGAACGTGGCAACACGCATAGCGTTTGCCTGTTGCTTCTCCATGCGAACACCCAGGGTCTTGATACCGCGGAGCAGCAGCCATGAATCGAAAGGCGACAGGCCACAGCCAGAAGCGTTGATAGTGAAGAAGAGTCGATCTCCAAGCGCAGAGTCGTTGATGGCAATGACACCTGCCATAAGATCGTGGTGACCCGAGAGATATTTTGTGCCAGATTCGTAAACGATATCAGAACCAAGGTCAAGCGGGTTGAGCAACATAGGCGACATCATGGTATTGTCGACAGCGACCACTGCGGTAGGGTTTGCGGCGTGAGCGATGCTGGCAATGGCAGGGATGTCGCAAATCTTGATCAGAGGGTTTGTAGGCGTCTCAAGCAGAACCATGGCCGTCTTGTTGTTCACGACCTCGCGTACTTTTTCCGGATTTGTGGTATCGACGTGGTGGACAATGATGCCTCCGTGTGTCGAAAGGTACTTGAGCAATCGGTTTGTTCCGCCATACAAGTCGTCGCCAGTCACTACTTCATCGCCCGGTCGTAGGAGACGGGTGATGACGTCTAGCGCACCCATGCCAGATGAGACGACAAGCGCGCGGTTCGCGTTCATGATCTTAGCAAGGTGTCTTTCGAGATGTGTTCGTGTAGGGTTGCCGGATCGTGTGTAGTCGTACTCGCCGCCGCCTCCGGTTGCGGACTCCTGCTTGAAGGTTGCCGACTACGCATGTTAGCCCTTGACTCGATTAATGCTGATGACGGTGAAGTGTCGCATACCTGATAGATGGGCACAGAGCTGGCATTGTACTGGTCGGTGCTCTCTGTGTAGACCAGCTCTGTCATGAGCGCATACTTCCTGCCATTGCGGGGCGAGCTCGGCGCGGGCGACGGCGGGAGGTTGTGGCCGTCAATGTCGAGCGGGATCGCAGCCTTGCCAGCGGCATTGGCCTTCTTAGAGCTCTCTCCGGCCATTGTAATGATGGTGTGTCCGCGGTGCGGACTTGGTGAAAGCCGAGTGGCGGGGTTTTACAAGTTTCGAGCTTCGCGTTGAGGCGATGACGAAACAGTTGTATGTAGAACAAAGCAAGACTCACGGCGAAGCGGTCTGGACAATTGCGAGAATTCAGGTAATGGGTGTATGAGTACAAAGGTCAAAAGCATAAACAGATGTCATTGAAGACGTGCGCACGAGTAGCTTAGCCCCATCTTGTGGGGAGTCACCGCTGGAATTGCGCCATCGAGGACAAATCGGCAGTTCTCCCTTGCTCCGAACGTCGCCCGCGTGTTTTCGCCTCCGACTTGCGGACGACAGGGGGGCCTCTACCCCAGATTGAGACAAAGAATCCACAGACAATCACCCACGAACAAGCGAAAAAAGTGCACCGGTCCAAAATACCAGGATGCTCGTGACTATTTGATATGCGGGTATACCTACTTGGACAAAATTGACATTACAGAAAAAAATTACCTTCCTTCCCATCAAGTACGCTGTGCGCCTGAACCTATTCGCCGAACCAAATGCCATACCGTCCCGGAAGTGCCTTGAGAAATGCAGGAACGTTAAACAAGAACGCAGTAAAAAAGCCATTCTGGAGCCAATGTAACGCCGGAAAGAGTCCATCATCGGGGATTGACAGCAGGAAACGACTTCCTGATATGAAGGTTCATCTTGAATTCGAAAATGCCTTCCTCCGTTGCACAATACAGAGTGCGTCCATCCTGGCTCATGGCCAGTCCCGCCGTCCGTACGCCTAGTCTGGAATCGTGCGTCGTGCGGCTTGACCCGCGCAGGCCCAGACTGAATTCATAGGATTCAAGGATGGGCTGGCCAGCACGCGTGATGCGGAGCCGCTCACGCGCCTGCGTCAATTGACGGATACGACGAAGCTCGCTGCGGAGTTCGGGTGCAGTGGGATTGCTGTCAGTGGCAGCCGCATGTGCAGTAGTGCCACGAGTCGTAGCGCGTTGTTGTTCAGCACTAAGTGCCTCTTCAACAGTACGCCATGCTTCATCTGTCGAGGCTACTATCTCGTTGCTCACGCGACGCGCGTGTGCAGGCACCGTGTTTGGCGAACGCGTGAGAGCAGTGTCAGTAATATTGGTGAGGGTAGCAGGTGCATTGACTGTGCCTTCGTTTATTGAAACAATGACTGAAGTCCGCCGATGAGGAGTTGTGCGCTCTTGGAGCCAGTTGCGTGAGTGCGCCTGCCCAGTCCTCTCTGCCATGAAACGAGCCATAGCGTCAGCGACCTCTCGGGCAGTGGGCTCCCTACATGCTGTTAGTCAAGTCTCACTACAGCAGTCGGGTGCGTAACATACGGTACAGTGTTGAGTTGCTCAGAAGTTGTATAGTTGATACTCCGGGGCGTTATCCCCTGCCCACGGGCCTCCTGGATCTCTTCACGCTGTCTATGACTGGTCCGTAAAGCACTAAGCACCTGTCTTTCGCGTGCCGTTAAGCCAAGTGGATCGTTGTCCGACTCTACGACACCCAGCCGCCGGTGAAGTCTCTGCCGCTCTGAGTCCGCTTCGAAATACTCATTCGCAGCATTCATAGCAGCTGTGTTCCCTTCCGAATCCAAAGCACGTCGATATCCTCGGATGAAATCTGCTTCTCTGCGAAGCTCGTGCATTTCTGGGCTAAGACTGAGATCAAAGTCGGCTATTTCGACGGTCTCGAGACCTTCTTCTTTTGGATCCAGGTTCAAGATTTGTTTGACCTTGAGACCAGCTCGCAAGTCCGCGATGCACACTCTACCTTGGTCTTCGCTCCAAACGAGGAAATCCCATGGTGCCGGTGAAAAGTGCATCGTCCGTACCGCGCCGGGCCCGGTTCGGCTGTCTGGTCTCGTGGAACTTATCATCTGTAGAATTGCATCTTCACCATACTCGACAAGCTTCAGCAACTGGACGTCAAAAACAGTAATGTATCCGCATTCTGAGCCAACAGCACAGAGGCTTCCTGATGGTGACCAAGCTGTAGTGAAGTAGCCGTCTGCATGCGAATGTGCGGGGCGGTAGAGAGTCACTTGCTTCAGTAATTCCCATGCTGGAGGTGTTGATTGTATATGCCCCTCAGGTGCCTTATTACCAGGCTTAGGTGACTTTGTGCGCTCGAAGAAGTAGCCAATAGGGGCATCGCCGACAGCTACCAACATTTGGCCATCGGGCGAGATGGCAGCGTGGTTCATTGCAAAGGGCAAATCAAGCACCGCCAACTCCAGATTTTGAGTCAACGAATAGACGCGCACCGTCTTGTCATTGTTGGTAAGAACTGCGACGATGTCATGCTGACCCTCGCTTTCACCCGGCAGTTTGTGTATGGATATGGAGTTGACGATATCGGTTCCGATCTTCTCGAGACGTACGCGCGATGCAGCGCCTAGTAGGGGCGGTCGAGGCAGGCGGTGCTCGAAGTCCAGGGGCAACGAGGCGTCGCCACGGGACGGGTCTGTCGGAGGAAAGCCGGTCACCTGGATGGCGGCGAAGTTGCCATGTTCCTCTCCACCCACGCAGACATAGCCGTAGCCGGAAGCAGTGCAGCGCGCTTCCCAGGGCAATGTGGTGACATGTGCCTGGGTTCGTGTGGCCGCATTGAGGCAGTAGACGGCCGCGCCGCTTGCATAGTAGAGGAGATCGGGTTCAGGGCAGGAGATGAAATGGCGCAATTGATAGTGTCTGCACTCGTCAGCGTTGACGCACCGTGTGCTTGTCTTTGGCCAGCGCTCACGCGATAGGGATCTTGGTAGGGTAGTAAGCCTTCTGAGCCAACACAAAGGTATCCGTATCTCTGCTCAGGGAGTCATCGACGGCCATAGTTTGCGGTCAGGTCGGAGAAGGCTGCATGTCTCTGGGACGGTAGCAATCTACGTCACAAGTCGTCTAGGCGGAGAAGTCCAAGGGGCCCCGGCAGGAATACAGTGCAGATGGGTTTGCAGGCGAGAGGAGGACGGTAGTTGTGATTTGTGGTCTATTCTAGCACGCGTTGCATGTGTCGGAGCGAGGGTTGATAGAGTCGCAGTGTTTCGAGGTGTTCCAGGCGTCACTATGGTCAAGCATCTTCCCCACACGCGAGCCATATGCGCCAAGCCTTGAACACGGCGACTCATGGTGGAAGTCATAGCACAAAGGCCAGAAGGCGTCATGGCGCCATGATGCAACATTCACCACCTGCCACTGGCAAAATCTGCCATTCGCCTCCTCACCATTCCGAGTCAAGTCGCATGGTCAATTGAATTGTTCGTAGCAACTCGGAAGCACAGACGTTTACAGCGGAACCTCGGGCGGCGATTTTACACCAAAACGAGCTAGAATCTTCTCCGAGAATTTTGTCCATCGTCAAAGCTTCCATCACTACATCATATATACCATCCACCCTCCCACTCATCATCTCTACATCCAATCTTCTGTCGCTTGCATCCCCTCACGCAGCGTCTCACACATTCACAATGTTGTCCTCAAGATTATCACGGACTGTAAGTAATTGCCTTTCTGATTATGCTCGTCAACATTCTCTGACCTCATCATAGTTTTTGCCTCGTGCGGCTTCGGCGGCGCGACGCACACCCGCATTCAGGGCTCCCGCCATGTTTGCGCGAGGGTATGCTGAGGGCGGCGAGGAGAAGGTCAAGGGCTCGGTCATTGGTATTGACCTGGGTACCACCAACTCTGCCGTCGCTGTCATGGAGGGCAAGGTCCCTCGCATCATTGAGAACTCTGAGGGTACGTCAGAAATGATTTTTCACCCAATTCGATCAAGACGCTAATTCTTTCTTCAGGTGGTCGAACAACACCTTCCGTCGTTGGTTTCACCAAGGAGGGCGAGCGTCTCGTCGGTATCGCCGCCAAGCGCCAGGCTGTCGTCAACCCAGAGAACACTCTTTTCGCTACCAAGCGTCTCATCGGTCGCAAGTTCACCGATGCTGAGGTCCAGCGCGACATCCAGCAGGTCCCATACAAGATCGTCCAGCACACCAACGGTGATGCCTGGCTCGAGGCCCAAGGACAGAAGTACTCGCCTTCCCAGGTTGGTGGTTTCGTCCTCGGAAAGATGAAGGAGACTGCCGAGTCATACATGGGCAAGAACGTCAAGAACGCCGTCGTCACCGTCCCCGCCTACTTCAACGACTCCCAGCGTCAAGCTACCAAGGACGCTGGTCAAATCGCTGGTCTCAACGTTCTCCGTGTCGTCAACGAACCCACCGCTGCCGCTCTCGCCTACGGTCTTGACAAGGCCACCGACAACGTCGTAGCTGTCTACGATTTGGGTGGTGGTACTTTCGATATCTCCATTCTCGAGATTCAGGCTGGTGTCTTCGAGGTCAAGTCTACCAACGGTGACACTCACCTTGGTGGTGAGGACTTCGACATTACCCTCGTCCGCCACCTTGTCGACCAGTTCAAGAAGGAGCAGGGCATCGACCTGAACAGCGACCGCATGGCTATCCAGCGTATCCGTGAGGCCGCCGAGAAGGCCAAGATCGAGCTGTCCTCTTCCTCCCAGACCGACATCAACCTGCCCTTCATTACCGCCGACGCCTCTGGTCCCAAGCACATCAACACCAAGCTCACCCGTTCTCAGCTTGAGAAGATGATGGACCCCCTCATCAGCCGTACCGTTGAGCCCGTCCGCAAGGCCCTCAAGGACGCCAACCTGAAGGCTACCGATATCTCTGAGGTCATTCTCGTTGGTGGTATGACCCGTATGCCCAAGGTTACCGAGTCCGTCAAGAGCATCTTCGGTCGTGACCCCGCCAAGTCGGTCAACCCCGATGAGGCTGTTGCTATCGGTGCTGCTATCCAGGGTGCCGTCCTTGCTGGTGAGGTTACCGACCTTCTCCTTCTCGACGTCACTCCCCTCTCTCTTGGTATCGAGACCCTCGGTGGTGTCTTCACCCGCCTGATCAACCGTAACACCACTATCCCCACCAAGAAGTCCCAGGTCTTCTCCACTGCTGCCGATTTCCAGAGTGCTGTCGAGATCAAGGTCTACCAGGGTGAGCGTGAGCTCGTCCGTGACAACAAGCTCCTCGGTAACTTCCAGCTCGTTGGCATTCCCCCAGCTCACCGTGGTGTACCCCAGATTGAGGTCACTTTCGACATCGACGCTGACTCCATCGTCCACGTTCACGCCAAGGACAAGTCTACCAACAAGGACCAGTCCATCACCATCGCCTCTGGATCCGGTCTTTCTGACGCTGAGATCGAGAACATGGTCAAGGACTCCGAGCAGTACGCTGAGCAAGACAAGGAGCGCAAGAACGCCATCGAGGCCGCCAACCGCGCTGACAGCGTCGTAAACGACACCGAGAAGGCCCTCAAGGAGTTCGAGGACCGTCTCGACAAGGCTGAGGCCGAGAAGATCAAGGAGAAGATCACATCCATGCGCGAGTTCATCGCCCAGAGCCAGTCTGGTGAGGGCACCGCCACCGCCGCCGAGATCAAGGAGAAGACCGACGAGCTCCAGAACGCCTCTTTGAGCCTGTTCGACCAGATGCACAAGGCCCGCTCCGAGAGCCAAAACCAGAGCGAGCAGCCTCAGCAGCCTGAGGGTGAGGGCGAGAAGAAGCAGTAAATGCTTTGATCGTTCAGCACTGGTTTTGTCTTTCTCGTTGATGGCTTCTTTACGTCCAAAAGCAGGCGTCTTGCATCCTGTCATGATTGGTCTGGTTTAGGTCACGTCTAGACGTGTACATGTCCCTACACATGTTTGAGCATCTCTGTATCATATTTTCCGACGATTTCTCTTCTCACATTAGCGTTTGTTTTATTACCCTTACGGATCCTTGGTACACGTCGGAATAACGAAAGAGTGATATCCACTGGTGGTCAGGACATGATGTGGAAGGGACGACATAATGGCGGAGTCAATGAGTGTACCATAGCTTAGAGACGCGAGATGGTAGCACTTCGCTTACTTCTCCGCTCTACAATCTACGATTTGAAATGTTCATTACCGTCGATTACAAAGTGACGTCGTTCATTGCCGACTAACAGTCGCCCTGTACAAGTAATCATTTTGGATTTTACTATATGATGTGCCCCGCTATCTGAACCTCGGGATTGCTTCATCATTTCGACCCGCTAAACTCTTACGTCATTACTAATCCGCGGCTTCCGTTCTTTAATAATACACAGTCAGTTTTGTAGCAAACCACCTCCTATGATTCCAATTCGTGGCATTATAAAGCACACTCTCCTCTTCGCACGCGGATCCAACACCACTAGATCCATTACCATCGCATCTCTATACTCTTTATTTAGAACCTTTTCACATCCTACACTTGCCAGCAAAGCATTGATTGGTGGACACATCCAACCTCCCTGTAGTATTCGATATAGCTCTACGAAGGCCAAGCCCAAGATGACAGACGCAACGAATCACCCCTTATCTGGCCTCTGGCAACCTACTCAGCTCCAGAAACTGCATTATGGTGCTGACTCCGTGAAACAACATCTCCTCTCCTGTCTTCCAAAAGAGTCAAGCAAAGCCTTTGTCATTACTGGAAACTCTCTGGCCAGCAAGACGCCTCTGGTGAAGCAAGTTGAAGCGCTCCTGGGCGATAAACATGCAGGTACCTTCTCAAAGATAGGCGAACACGCGCCTGTCGCCCAACTAGACGAAGCAACCGACCTTGTGAAGAAGGATCAAAGCATCGATACCGTAATCTCCATTGGTGGCGGAAGCCCAATCGACAGCTCAAAAGCCATCAGCTACCGGCTGAACGAAAAGACGGGAAAATACCTTTACCACATCGCCATCCCGACAACCCTAAGTGCAAGTGAATGCACCCTGATGGCCGGCTACACACAATCTGACGGCGTGAAAACTGGTGTTCGAGCCAAAGAACTCGTCCCTCACGTCGTCATCTACGATGCCAAATTCGCCCTACATACCCCTGAACGCCTTTGGATGTCAACTGGTCTCCGCGCCATGGACCACGCCATCGAGCTACTGTATCATCCCACCGCCACTGAGATGCCCGCTAGATGGTTGACTCTACAGTCTGCAGCTACACTCTTCGAAGCCCTACCAAAATACAAACAAAACCCCAAAGACGAGGATGTTATTACAAGGTTGCAGCTTGCCGCTTTTGCTTCCCTGGGATTTTTGGGCTACAACATCAAAGGCGGTCTCGGCCTCTCTCATGCCCTAGGCTACGCGCTGGGTTCTCCCTATGGTATTCCTCATGGCATCACATCATGCCTCACTCTGGGACACGTAGTCAAGCTCAAGGCTCAAGACCCCGCTGCAGCAGAGCAGGTAGCTCGCCTGCTTCCATTCATCGGAGAGTCGGCGTCTGGCGATGCCAAGGCTGATGCTGAAAAGGTTGGAGACGAAATCTTGAGGCTGGTCAAGGATCTAGGGTTGGATAGTGACTTGAGGAATTACAAAGTAGGCAAAGATCAGATTCCTGTCATCACAGAGCGGGCAACGGGTGGGCAGAAGGAAGGAAAGGCCTATGATGCTGTTGAGGGGTTGGTAAAGGGATTGTTTGTTTGAGTAATCGAAATGAAGAAGTTATAGGGGATGGGATTTATATTTTGTGACAGCATCATACAAAGACGCTTTGCCAGACATCATGTACTTGGAGGATCACTTGTACTCAGGTAAAGTTTGAGGAAACAAGTTGTTGATTATTCTACTTCACGATTCGGGTCCATAATTCGGGCCAGTTCCAGCATGAGGCGGTATAGATAGATGGTAAAGTCCTCTCTTCGAAGCGCCTTCCCATGCCACTCGCGACCCGCATCGGCTATCTCCTTCGCTCTCCTTTTACCATCTTCATGGCTCGTTAGATATCGCATAGTTTCTGGCAGCTCGTCCATGGAGAGGCTGACAGGGATGTAATGCACCCATGGTATCAAGCGCTCATCATGCCATTCTCGCAGGATCGTCTGCTTAAGCACAACGCTCCGCGATTGTAACAGCGTGTAGTATCGCCCACTAAATGAATTCCCGTCGATGTCAAACACGAAGCGGGATCGTAGCTGTTGACTTTGTTCCTCTATATCTCCAGGGTTGAAGAACTCTTTTTGGTCTTTGCAATCCTGCTCATTGCATTGGAGCACAGCAGTGAATTTCACGTCATAAAGACTGCTTTGATTCTTGACCGCGCTGTATGGTATCCATTGCCCTAGTTTGGATTGCTTGAGAAACGTATGACTGGTGTGATCGATGGCCTGAACCAGCTTCACGAAACGTTGTCGGTGGGAATGTTGCCAGCTGCTGTTCCAGCTATAGCTTCCAGTTGTGCTACCAGCCCAGTATAGGTTGTCATTCTTTGCTTCCCAAGCAGGATCGTCTACCTCCTTATAGTCTCCTTGATATACCTTATCTGTATACCAAGGACTAGGATATATAATGTCGCCAAACGAAGAAGGCGCAGCTTGCGAAAGGATGGGGATTGGAGCTTCTGTCGTCAGACCAGTCATGGGAGAGGAAAAGAAGCCATGCATACTCTCGAACTCGGGATGTGAGCAGACTTCCCGAGCGTGCGATTTGTCTTGGACGAAAGGAAGGCCATAACTGGAGATGAAGGGATTCGCCTCAACACTAGGATTACCCCAACATAGATCATTGGTTTTATCCCATATGGAGTTGTGATTTGCATCTTCGAATGAAGGACGTAATGTACCGCCATTATCGAGCGTTTGTCGCGTGATGATGAACCTAGGTTCATCCAATAAATTGAGAGCAAATACAACGTCAGGAATGTTGCGCGATACTTCATCAAAGAGCCCTCCGAGGTCCTTCCCAAGCCAGTGGTCACTTGCCGAATTATATTCTCCATCCGCAAAGGCGCACTTACGGAGTGCAAGATGGTCGAGCTCAGTGACGTTATTGATATTTTCGCGTAGACGGCGAGGTTCGATCTTCCAGAATGGCATGAGATCCTCATTGATCATGTCAAAGTCATCGATCAGAGGAGATTGGTTGGCTTTGGCGTAGAAAAACCACTTATTAAATCCCGGCGGTGGTTCGCGTGAGTTTCTTCTTCGATACTCCTTTTCGGCTGAACGAAGTGTTTTAGATTGTCGTTTCTGAAGATGCGCGAAATCCTTCCGACCCTTCAGAGCAAGCTCTTCGACAGGGTGAAGTGAGCTCGGTGTTACAGTGCCAGTTGACACATACGGCCATACTGCTTCAGGCAGCGAAGGAACTTGCCTCCCCGTCGAAGTCAGCCGTACAAGCGACAGCGCCGGCCAGATGGCGAACAGATATAGTATGAGACGCCCTTTGGAACTCTTCGGTAAGAAACAAACAATTTGGTACAGACTAAGAATGGCGATTGTTGTACGGGCAAGTGTTTGAAACCCCCCTAGTGGTGTAGTCGCATCCGGAGTAAAGGCATCGGCTGACGCTGTGACATAGCCCCAGATTACAGGCACAACTTCCCACTGTACTTCTTGTGTCTGGTTGTGTTAGCGTGCGATCGGATTAGCACAGATAGAGTTATACATACAAGCCAGAATACGGCAGTCCAATGCAGAGCTTTTACGATGCCAGCAAATAGAGCTTTGACCATGGAAAAAGTTCCACCAAACGGAGAGAGAACCACAAAAATGGTTACCGCGATGCAAAGCCCAGCCGTGCGAAACGAGATGGAGCGGATCACATTTCCGGTGCTCATCCGATGGCCTTCATCTAGGTATTGCCGTCCCAGGTTGAAAATATCGGCGAGTGACCCATATATCCCCACAAGGCCGAGTGCGGTGGGAACAGCGTATACTATCCTGACGGTATCAAAAGTCGGTGCGAGTGCTACAACGAGGGCTGCTCCTAACCCCGATACAAAACATGTATATTTGATATATGACGGCAGCAGTTCGGATAGGCGGGCGAAGGGCGCGGTACGACTTCGAGCGATGAGTGCAAACCCAACTACAGGCTGTCGAATGTATGTTAGCATGCTTGATGAGTCAGGAGATAGCAGGAAAATCCTACTGTGACCCATGTAGAATCTATGACCGAGGATAAAGCTGCTACCATAGACACAGAACCCGCCACTATCCAATACAAGTACTTGATGGAGGGCTTCAAGCCAAAGTTCTCATTCTTCCACAGCCCTGGTACGAAGCGCGAGGAAAACCCGAAAGACACAGTGACGAGACTCCAACATATCACTTCGGCGAGCGCTGGGGCGTATCCATCGAGGTTGCGGGGGTAGAATTGGGCTGTTAGAAGAGCAACTCCTGTTGCTACAGCCAAGTTTGTGACTCGATTTGTGACTGACCACCTCATGACGAATCTAAGAGCAAGTTGTGTCGCGCAATTGGTTGGCTCACAAACTATCCAGAGGCAGAGTAATAGAGGGAGAATTCGCGCGATGGAGGACTCATGGGAATGTTTGGCGTACACGCGGGCCCCAATGACTCGATATGGAAAGATAAAGTGTAGTGAAAGAGCATGAAAAGCAGAAAATAGCTTTCACGAAAATATTCGACCTTGCAAAATTAAGCAAAATTCTATAGGAATAGAGCTAAACCAACAAACCTGCATCGAAACAGCCGTTGAGAGGCCGTGCATTATTTAAAGCTGTAGTAAGCGTGGAACTATCCAAATTTGCGTGCAGTTCCGCCGTTTGTAAATATCGCTACGATTGACTTGGTTTGTACATTTGATCTAAGGGACAATAAGCAACATGCACGTACGAAATGCATCTGAGACTTACACAGACTCCAAACACTTGCATGTAGATAGTGCGATGATCTCTTTGTTTCACTGCTTCAGCATCGGCGCAATTTTTCACGACAACCCAAGCTTTCACCCATCAAGAGCTACGATAAGGTCAAATATGAGTTGGACCAGAAACATCTAGGTACTTCGTGCTGCCTCTATAGCTTTGACAAGGCCAAGCGCTCCGTAGTAGATGGTGTGATCCGGTGCTTGTGATTCTATTCATCTGAAAGCTGTGTTCTCCGTTTAGCTGTCGTCTGTGACGGTGTGTTTAGGAAGTAAGTTGAAATGTACAAGAAGGGCAGGTATGATAACAAGATATGACACTAGAACAATGGTTTACATACACACTCGACCCAAACCAGAGCGGTGAACAGCCTCGCGAACGCCAAACAAAAAAGGATAGCAAAAGACAGCGAGTGGAGAATCACCTCTCGTAAAGCAACTCAGCTAACAACTTCTCCAAGCACGCCAGCCACATAGCATACTGCGGCAGCCCAGATGGCTGTCTTGACTACACCAGCTCCTTTGCGGCCTTTCCTCTTGCCTTTGGTCTCCTGTTGGGCTGGTCCTTGTTCGTTACTGCTTTCCTCTGTGCTGACAACGCGCTCAGCAGCTTGCCTACGCTCAGTGAACTCTTTCTCAAGTTGTTCTTGGCTCTCCTCTGGTCCGACGTAGCCAGTAGGTGAGAGACGGGTCGTCCCATCTATGGGATTGATATTACCTCTCTCCACCGTATTGTCAGTGTTGCCTTCCATTGCGCTCGAGGTGCTCACAGTGGCGAAGGGCTTAGTGGGCGATGTGGGGTTGAGAGCATCGCGCAGTATAAGCATATCCTTCTTCGCAGTGACAATCTCGAGGCCGTCTTTGATATGTGGAATGAACTTCGCAGGCTGATCGAGCTGCGATAGCGCTTCGTGTAGTGGTATCACAGGAGGAAGGTCACGAGGTACAACCGATGTAGAGGTGGTGAGCGAAAGCTTGCCAGTGTCCGGATCGTGCACAAGGATCGTGTAAAGCATCTGTGAGTCCGCTCCTGATGAACGAGGTGATGTGACCGGAGACGATACCTCAACAAACGTCTCATCAGACGCTTTGCCCGGCTTAGGATCCAAGGTAGCGGATACAGGAGATGATGGAGTGTGAGCAGCAGTCATGGTATCCTGAGCAGTTTCGGTTAGAGCAGCAACTGATGTAACCTCTTTCTCAGCCACCAGTTCTGAGCTGTCTAGCTCGTTCACCTGGGTCAACGTCTCGCCTATTGTAGGATCATCCTTCAGCATATCAAACTTGTTCACTTCATGATCTTCCTCGGCCTTGTTATCCTTGATCGGGATCTCTGTCTGCTCGTGGTCAACAGCAATTGATCCATGCGTATCCACATATGCCTTTTGGGTGTCATCAACAGGTGTCTTGTCGTTGAGTTGGTGAATCGCTTTCTCCTCGACCTCGGTTGTATCTACTTTGGACGGCGTCTCCTTCTCTAGGCTCTCCAATACGGGTCCGAAAGGCCTGAATAGGCTGTGAGCAAGAGGTCCTCGCTCCTCAAACGACTTTTTCAGTTCCATCTTCGGTATGCGCGCGTATCCATCGTCTGAGAGCCCACGCATAGCGGACTTCTGTGCATCAACCTCGTTGGCAAGACGTTCTTCAGCTGCTACCTTAGCGCGAAGCTGAGCTTTTTCAACCTCAGTCATACCAGTGTGTACTTTACCTTGGGCTGACTGCCCATGATCCTGCGGATCTTGCGCATTCTGATGTTTACTGGAGGTTTTGATGTCTTCCCACGTATTCGGTGCTACACCATAAATGAGCATGGCACGTTCTAGCAATCGCGCTAAAGCCAATTGTGTGTCTCTAAGGGTCAACAAGCTGTTTGCGACAGCTTTGTAGTTTGGTAGCATAGTCTGGGCAATTTCCGCGTCCTCGAGATGACCCTGTAGACTCCAGATCAAACAACGCGTAAGGTGAGCATTTTTCTGGGTGATTTTTGATGCAATATTGAGTCGCCGTTTGAATGCTGAAGACACGTTCTTTGCCGCATCCGACTTGCCCAGTTCCTCGAGCTGTGCGTATGCCTTAATAAGATCATTGTCTGTGCTCTGGTACTTAAGGCGCAATTCTTGGATAGCTCTGACTTTCTTCGGTGTCAAGGAATGCATCTTGCCAGTTCCTGGACCCTGCCGAAGGGCATTGATAGCAGAGTCCAGTAGATCCTCGTCCGCTTTCATGCGCTTCAAGAGAGGCTTAGATGCTGGAATTTCGGCCTCTAGATCATCAATCACTTGCTTCATAGTCGTACGGCCTTTACGGATACGCGCCAAGATCTTGTCGAAGAATTGCCGTGTTTTTACCACGTCCGCCTCCTCAGTAGGGTCTTGCCAAAAGAAGCTGGAAAACTTGGCGCCGCTTTCTTCAAGCCATGACTTCATTCGCTCGACACTAGACTCCAATTGACTTTCGGTCTCCACGGAATGTGTCTTCCCAATCGGTGTACTTGTTTGCGGTTTGTTAATCTCCTGAGACTCAAGTGGTTTCTCTGGCTGCTGCATTTGTCTTTCAACTCGACGGACGAATTGATCGTTGATGACCTTGGCCTCAAGCATCGGATCGATGACATGGTGTTTCTTGTGAGTATCCTCAAAAGTCTTCTCTAATTTGGCCCGTTCGGCCTTTCTGAGCTCGTCGCTAAGGACTTTGCTCCTTCTCGCGGCCATGTTTGCACGTATGTGATCTGCACTCAAGAAGTCCAAGTCATCTTCAGGCAGTTGACTCAAAATCTTGGACGTAGACCGGGAAGATGAAGTAGTGCCTTGGGGGGCAGGCTCTTGTTGTGTTGAAAGTTGTTCTTGAGGAACATGCCGTCTCGTGCTTGGAAGGGCCGAATCTGTAGGAAAGGATGTAATATGTTCTTCTGTGGGTGACACTGAGGGTGCCTCATGGATCTCCACAGTCGCTGACTCCGGTGCCGAGGGCTTGTCTTCTGCTTTTTGCAGAGGCACGGTGTAAACCTCAGGCTTTGCTACGAGATCTTTTGAAGATCTCCTTTGTAGCGAAGTTTCTCTCCAAGTACCATTCTCAGTTGCACCGCCGAAATACGGATCCTTGTGTCTAGGCGTCTCCGTCAGGAATTGATCCATGGAGGAATCTTCCGTATTCGATGTAACCTTGGCAGATTGTTCGATCTTTGAGGCCGCATCGGATTTCGTCTTCGTAATGTACTCTCCGAAGGACTCTGTGCTCTTCGGTGGCGTAGGCTGCTGGAGATCGTAGCTCTGTGAAATACTTGCAGGATATGCAGAGTTGGTCGCGCTTGCTTCGGGATTGCTCGGCACTTCTGGAAGGCGGCCGGAAGACCTGGCATGAGGCTGATCTCGAGGTCTCCTGAAGTCTGAAGGAGATTCAACCCCAGTCGCGTCATCACGGAGCAGTTGACTTGCCCGGAAGGATGGTTGTGGGAAGTAAGATGCTCGTTCCTTGTGCTCGTGGGAACTCTCATTCTTGACCTCAACTCGTCTCGGATATCTCGGATTGGGATTGCCATCTTTATCATTTTTAGGCGACGATGTGGTGTCGTCATGGATGTCCAGCTCTCTCAGCAACCACTTTGGAAAGCTTTTGCTGGTCCATTCCCAGTCTTTGAGCCCCTTGCCACTTAACATATCGTTGCTAGCACCGAAGATAGCCTGGTATGGGTCGTCCATCAGCCTCTTTCGCCATCGCTGGTATTGCTGTAGCTGCAGCCACTCAAGATTAGACATGCCAGATGGACGCTTGCTGTCATGGTTGTCTTCATGTTGTGCAGATTCAGAGGGCGTACGAGAGAAGCATCGCGTACGGAGAGCAGCCTCGTGGGACCGTAGGATGCGTTGCGCGTAACGTTGAATGGGACTGAAGGTCGGGTCACGGCGCCACCAAGCCATGTTCGAGACTGGGGAGTGGTCCGAATGGAGCTGAAGTCAGAAGATTGGGCTGAAGGTCTTGGCCCTGCATCTCGTCAGTGTCAATTGACCATGTAACATAAAACGAAACATACAGTTGTACCGATCTGTGGTATCTTGTCCAAGGCACCAACAGCTCCTCGGAGCTAGCCTAGGTGAAGGGGCAGTGGCTACATCAATAGCCAGACGACTTTCGCAGAGGGAGATAATGGCGCACCCAGGGTAAGAGGATGGTGCTATCAGAAACGTGTTCAAGACAGAGATAGGACTTCCAAACGAGACGGAACGCTCAGGCAACCTCCAGGGAGTGATGGCGTTGCCATATCCCCGCGTAAGCTCCGTGCCGCTTATCATGTTTCGCGGGGTACGTTACCACCCTCCGCGTGATCGCTTGTTCGCGTCACCACTCCGTGGCGCCGTACATCTAGATCTCGCCACATATCAGGAGGCGCCTTTTACTTTTCGGTGGACACCTACATGTTGATGCAAGCGGCCGTGGATCGCCTTGAAATGACAGACCTCGACGATGCTTGACGCGTACCAAGTCGCGTCTCACAGCCGAGGCCGATAAGGCGATAAGGCAGCAGCGCCAAGGCTCCATCTGTCTCGATTCGACTCTTTGTAAAGTACAACCCTTTACAATTCTCATCACCCTGCTCGACTACACGTGATAGTGCGCAACATCAGCACGCACAATCTCGTGCATTACTAGCACCCAGCCCATCGGACTGGTTGCTCTTGCAATTGACCGAGACTATGGTGAAAGATTCCAATCTCAGTCCAGTCTAACTACAGATGTCAATCTTCAAGGCATACGTTTGTTGCAAATTCATCTATCGGATCTACACTCAATGTGCATTCATCATACTCGTCTCGGAATGGCATCCAATGTACTCGAAGAATTGCTGGTTCGGCTCTAGCACGTAAACCTCGTGGAACAGTCGGAGCGATAACACGTTGTTGAGCTTCTTCGCATACATCAGAAAGCCTCCGAAAATATTGATATGAGTTTGGTGGCTCTTACTCCAGTACTCGAGAGATGCCAGGTCATCAAAGTAACCGAGACCGAACGTCCTCTCACGGTTTGCTGAGAACGACCTAGAGTCTACGACGTCCCACAAATTCATCGCATAGCACCCAATTTCGCGACCTTCATCGCGCAGAAACCTCATACCCTCCATGAGCACGGGATGCATGGTATTGAGATAGAGGTTGCGTTCTTCAGGTAGCGTGTTGGACCAATCCTGACCCGACCGAATTACACACAGGTTGGGCTTGCCGGGTACACGAACGCGCTTTGGAACGTTGTCGCTAACAGGCGAGCCATTGGCGCTGCTGTTGGCAGAGCTCAATTTGGTGCCATCAAGTCTATTGTCTTGAGCAGCTGCCAGCCGGTCGCGCATGCTACCCCAATATGCATGTTCTTCCATCTCGCCCGAGATCCTCTCCTGCATGTTGGCGGCCCCTTCTGGATTCTCGGGGTTCGAAAACACCGTCTCAAAACGATCGATCGTTGGACGCAGGACTTCTTGGAACCAGCCATGTCCATCTTGTTCCCTGTCTGGACTCTGCCACCATGTATCGAAACCAGATTCTTGCTGCCACTTCTTGTGCACGTCTGCGCTGCGCCAGTATGCAATGACAGCAATGCTGTACGCGCCTCTCTTGTCGACAACGGAAGCCACTTCCCAAAACGACGGTCGCTTTGACTCTGGCGCTTTATTGACAAAATCTTGCAGCTTAGAGATGGCCGTGCCATCGTTTCCAGCGACAGAGGCATACTGTGCTCCTATAACTGCCATGACGAGCTCGTCCATCTTGGTGGGAAACCTGGCGCAATACGCAGGGAAAGGCGGAACATAGTTGGGCGGTGTGCTAACCGGGCATGTTCTTTCCTTGTGGAGATGCTCTGGGATCGCGCATTCCAGCATCTTGGGAAATTTCCGAGACTATACTGACAGTGTGGAACAACTTAGGTCGAACTTGTCGTATCTATTCGCTCTACCAAGGAAAGCGGTTCCAAACAAAAGTCTATTGAGAGGCAGCTTTGGGCGAGTTATATTGCTCGCATTTCACAGCGTGCTTGAGCCGACGCGGGACGGCAGCAATGATCTGGAGTAGGTTCACAAGCGTCTTAGCGGACCGGAGGAGCATCTCAAAAGAAGGGCCGGACCTCGCGCTAGACCTGTCACACCCTGTCGTTTGTCCGCAGCTCTACCAAACGACATACCCCCAGACCCAAATTGAGTGTCTATGTGGCGATGAATTCCTTTTTGTGTGCAAAGATCCCACGGGCCTGAGACTGACGTAGCATCTTCGGGTATGCGCGCTTCGACACTGCCACCTAGAGATTCCGCAGAGACTGACAAATCCGAGATCTTCATTTGCGACGACTCCTCATGCGCTTGTTCGCCTGCCGCTAAAGCATGAACGATCATGTATGGTTAGGGACTATGATTCCAACAGACGCTAATCCAAGCTGGTGTCTAGCTGACTGCTACCCCCACCTCATAAGACCATACAAAGACAAAAAGCATATTGCGAACCAATGGTCTCCGCGTCGTCATAGCTATCGGGCCGTTTGATCTTCATGGCGATTTTGCAAGCCTGTTCAGGGTCATATTCTAAGGTTGGAAAGCATACGGAAGCGACGATCATTTCCGATGCGAAGGCGGGAACTTGCTGCGCCCTGACGGCTTCCTGTCCTACAAGGACACCCATACTAATTGCCTTTGCACCCTCACGGATCCATCCACACCCGATTGAGATTCTCGATCTCCATCGTAAATCGCATGTCTTTCGTTTTTTTCCTATTGTTTACTTTTTGCACCAATACTCCTTGTTAAGGGCCTTGTTACCCTGAATAGGTTCAATTAGGACCATCAACTGGTCATGCTCACCCTAGCAACATGTACAACCCTTTCACGACTGAAGCATGGACGGAGTATGCAGTCGGTATGGTCATAATATTCTCCCGCATCACAGCACGTTGTTGGCAGGTCGGATTGAACTGGGATGGAGACGACTACTTCACCATACTTTGCGCCCTCTTCTTTACCGCTGAGCTTGTCATGCTAGAGCTCATTGGTAGATACGGTTCCATTACAGGAATGAGTAATGAGATTGCATTGCAACTTACAACTGAGCAAAAACAACGCATCATTGTGGGTAGCAAATGCCTTCTCGCTGGGTGGATTCTGTAAGAAATGTCCCTGTACCAACTGCACGTGTGATTTGAACTGACTTTGTACACGCACTTTCTAGGTACACCACATTGATCTGGTGTTGTACGTACTACTTTAAGGACTTGCTGCTCACGGTACAAATGGATATACTAACAGTTCGGTATCACAGTGAAAGCTTGTATGCTATTCTTCTATAGAAGGCTCACGTATGGTCCCTTTGCCGTCTTTTGATCACTTTGTGCTAACGGAAACAGCCTCAATCTCCAGCAAAGGAATCTCGTCAAGATCACTGGGGCTGTCTGCATCGCCGCATATATCGCCACCATCATTGTATTTCTTACACATTGCCACCCCATTCATCGGTTATGGCAAGTCTATCCGTATCCTGGTGACGACTGTGCGCTCAACATTTCGAAGTACCTAGCTTTGGTAGTCACAAACGTAACGTAAGTGATCACCGATACTGCTATTTTCGTTGACACAATACTTACTGGCCTTCAGTACCGATCTCATGATCCTTTTCATTCCGTTGCCTCTACTATGGGGCGTCCGTCTACCTTTCAAAAGGAAGCTGCTGTATTTTTTCTGGCTCTGCACAGGGATCTTCATCATGACTGCGACATTACTCCGTTGCATTCTGTGTCTCCAAGACGTTTCCCAAATTAACGTTGGTACCATATGGTCGATCCGCGAAACGGTATGCTTTCTTCGCCCCTGTATGCCATCGCATGAACTTTGTTAATGCATGTCTCTAGTTCGTCGGGATCATAGCCGTCAACGCACCTATCCTCAAACCCTTCTTTACTCAGGCCAAGAAAGCTGTTTCCTCCGGCAAGCCATCACACAACAGTTCTGGCAACGGTCTCCCGGATAGTCTTCGGTTGTCGCACGTTGAGAGAAAGGGGAAAAAGAGAACTGTCCATGACATCACTAATATGGACACGATGATGAATGAGAGTGAGGAGCATATCATCAGCCCAGCGGGTAGACCTCGCAGCGAGATCAGTTCAAGAGAAGAGAGAGGCGATGTGTGAAACAACCACTACAGATAAAGCACATGCGACCCTCACAGGTCATGAGCCTATGAGTAGAAACGGACGAGACGTGTGACGCAGGTGACGCGGCAACGTTGATCGAAATTCCGCGGAATCTGCCTTCTCCTCGCGATGTGCTTTTCAGCAAAGCGATGCCTGAGGAGATCCCATCGGCTGCCACGCAATACACCACATATGTGGGTATGGCCTAGTCACGATCTGCGCACGAACACGAACACCAACTCACGCGACGCCAGCTGCTCCCAAATTCTGCGCTACTAGTCAGCGAAGTTATAGAGGGGAGGATGCCGGACGGCAGAATAATCTGGGTAGAGTAAGATTGGAAGAAAGGATCTGTGTTTACTAAAACACATCGAACCCCACAACGAAGAACGATGCGCACATGCATGCACACATTCGTCACGATACTATGTAGCCAGCTCTCAATTAATCGTCTTCTCGCAACAGCCTCCTCTCCTCATCGTTCACAGCCTCAACCTTTTTGCCCTTTCCATCCTCCTTCTGTAGACTGACCGCGATCGCTGCTCCAATAATAAGCACCGCCCCTACCAAGCTCTCAACCGGCGGTGTAGTCCCCCAGATTAACTTTTCAACTACCAGTGCAAATACAAGTTGTAGGTAGGTTAAATTTGTTGCTCTTCCACCCTTTTCCCTCTGCAGACCTTCCGTCAGCAGGAATTGTAACAGAAATCCAAAGAGTCCAATGATTGCGATCAATCCCCATTGGCCGAGCGTCTTGGGCATAACGAAATGCAGCGAAGGATGAACCAAGATGAGCACAAAAGAGGCCATCGTTGCAATGAAGGAAAAGTAGTTGACCGAGATTAGCGAATGTGCGCGTTTACCTATCACACGAATAGTAGCATACGCAGTGCTTGCTCCAAAAGTGCCTAGGATAGCAATGAGGATCGCCATAGTCCGTTGTTCTGCCGTTATTGACGACGCTGGCGCTTTCCGGTCCGAGTCATCGACTACAGGGTTCATATGTGAGGAGGGAAAGAGCCATGGTGGTCTCGCGACGAAGAGAACGCCGCAGAAAGCGATGAAGCTGCAAAGCGCTTCTTTCCAGGTGAACGGCTCACGTAACCAGACAAAACATACGATTGCGGTCATGGTTGGAATCAGGAAGGTTATGACTGTTGCATCCGAGATTTCGAGCCAGGACAGAGAGTCTATGATCGTGCGTTAGAACTTCCTCGTGCTCGGCTCATGATATAGTATTCTCCTCACGTCCTGGAACGCCAGCGATTCATGCGAAAAGAGTGGAGAAGAAGCGATACCTACAGTATAATCCGAAGAGGCCCACAAAACCCGCAGTACCTCTCAACACAAGCAATCCCTTGATCCCTTTCTGGCCAAGAGGGAAATCAGGCACAGCGTGGTACCAGGAGTAAATCGAGCATATAATTGTCGTGCACAGCATGCGGATAAAAATGATTTGCAGGGCATGGAAATTGATCGATGGGTCATTGGCCAAAAGTTTGGCGGCTGTGTTCATCTAAAACGGCTGTCAGTATCAGGTTCGAATGAAATGCAACCACTGCACAGAGAAAGAGGCCAGACGTACGATGCTCCCACAGGTCTGAGCTAAGAACACTAGGAACAGTCCGAAGTTGCGGTCATAGAACACCCTCAAACTTGCCGTTACCCTTCTCCACAGGGCTGGCTGATGTGCTTCTTCTGCATCTCGCGCAGTGTCTGAAGCTGCAGGTTGCAGATGTTGTACGAAATCTACATCTGAATGTCCTGGCGCCGTTGGCGGATCTACTGTTCCATATGACATCTTTTGTCTGAGGCGATATATTGGTGATTGCAGAGTCGAATGCAACAACAGATGTCGTAGCAAAGAAGAGCAAAATCCTACCGAGACCAGACCCGCTGACCCACTAGTGGGTCGCGTTAGGCCGGGAGCCGTGTCTAGCCCTGCTTACATCAGCTGGACCTGCTCAAGTCACCAAACACCATCTATCGGCACTTGCTGTAAGAGACGATCCGCACAAACTTTTAAAATTGTTATGAGAGATTTGAGAAGCAGAATGGTTTCAAGATGGATGATTGATGAAGAAAAGCGACACTCAGTGCCAGTAAAATATATACAAGAAGACACGCCTTCACGTACGAGCTACATCCGTGAGCGCGTTCAACCTAAGACATGTAGGCTGCATCAACCCAGTTCTTGTAGTCGCTACCCAACACCGTAGAGACGCCAACAGCAGCCGTGAGCTTCTTCGAGAAGGACGCCCTGGTACCCTTGGATCCATCACCAGTGTTCGCATACTCGCCATATGTGACCTTGTCGGTCCTGGGGTCGTCGGTGTTCCAGGCCCTCCAGCCCGCGGCGTTAATGACGTTGGTCATGCTGGTGTTCTGGACGACGACACGAGAGTAGTTTCTCCAAGGGCGACCGAGGAAGTACGCACCGGCCTTGACCGTATTACCAGGGGCCGCGGCGATCTTCGAGTTGTTGATTACGTAGTATGAGGGATTGCTGTCTGATTCGCGACCGTTTGCGGTAACATAGCCCTGCGAAGCTGCGAGAACACCGATAGAGACGTTTTCGAACCATGCAGTGGCTTTCTGACCGAAAATGAAGTCGGTGGCACCCTCGATGTAGGACTTGGCATAGACCTGGTTACCAACCTGGGCAAGGATGGTATCTTGGTAGCCCATGAACTGGCACCCATAGTAGCCTTGCTTGTCGGCGTTGGCACTCAGGGCAAGAGCTTGGGAGCCCAGTCCACGAGTGTTGACCAGGTTGATGTTGTAAACCTTTAGGTTTGGAGTCCATGCGCGGAGAGTGGCAGTTTCGTCATTGTTGGGAGTATTGTCCTGACTCTTGCCTTGGGTGATGGTCACGGTGTTGCCGCTGTAGCTGCTGGTGTCTGTAGTCTCGCCGTAGATGGTCAAGGCTGACTTCAACGGCTTGATGTAGACTTGCTCCTTGTAGGTGCCTTTGGCGATGTAGATGCACTGCGCAGCCGTACCGGAAGCGCTGAGTGCGTCAACAGCCGATTGGACAGTCTTGTACTTTCCGCTACCACCGACAGCCAAGCAGCCTGCAGGAGCAGATGTGCGCCCAGCGCGTGGCACCAGTGCCGTTGGGGCTGCGACAGCAGATGCTGCGAGCGAAAGAACGAAAGCGAGGGATGCAAGCATTGTGAAGAAGTGACAAGAAGCTGTAAGGAAGGAAAGTGAGCGAGCGAATGTTGAATTAAGCCTGAAGACACGCAGTATCTATACATGCAATAAGCTCGGGATGCCGGGTATGCAAACTATATTGGCGGACTCTCACGGTCTGACCAAAACCTCGAAACAACCGCCTAGCGAGCTACGTCGTCGTTGTTTCCCCGCTACAAAGCTTGTCGAAACAAGTAAAGCAAGCCATCGGAAAATTTACAACGTCTGCACCCCAGAATGCAGGCTGTCGAGTCGCGGAACGGCTGCGCATATAGGCGGCTGGTTGGTGGAAAACTAGTCGTTGTCCGTGCAGTGATTTGGTTTGATTGTAGCGTGTTACAGAGGGCTGATGAAGGGTGGAGAATTGATCCCCGGAGTTACGCCGCTTGTTCGTATCGCATTGCTGGGGTTGTTATAGCTGACGCGTTTGTTGGACCCGCGGATGCGCCTGTGTGATCATAGGCCGATGTTCGGGATTGTGATGTGCGACGCGAAGTTTGTGGGGTAAAGCAATCAGATGGAATCTCAGTCCGTGCTCGTATCACGTGATTTGGCGTTGCGCTAAGATCGACACGTTACGATGAACTCTAGCTTCCATCCGTTGTACGACGCTGGGGCCGACTTACGAGACTCAGCGGCACTGGAATCGATTATTCACGTTGTATTACGTTGGTTTCCAGCTTGCTGCCATTCTTATCCTTACAATGGCGCGCTCACAAACACCCATTGATTGGGATTCACTCCACAACAATGGCCATCAGACAATCGACCTCACTCTTTCTTCCCCAGAACCAGAGCCAGAACCTCGACGACAGCCACAACCGCGGCAACAGCAAATGCCGCCTCACAGACAAGCTCAATTGTACTTCGGACGCGAGCAACGCCCGTACGGTATGCCAAACGTTAAGATGGAAGCTAGCCAGCCGGTGACTTCCGCGCGGAACCATGTTGCGCCACAAACAGCGCGTCCCATCAACCCTGAGCATATTAAACAGATCATCACCACAGCCGACCCGCGCGCCCTGCAGAGAGTGCTGCTCGAGCTCTGCCAGGTATCCCCGGCCTTCTCTGGTGCCCTCATGCGTGGACTTGCGCCTCACTCAACATCTGCACAGAGCATAATCAGCCAGCATTGGATACGATCGCGACAGCCTAATGTTAAGGCGCAAGATGATGAAGGCAGTGACGACATCTACAAAGCGGCTAAACTGAGGCTAGCTAGGTCTGTACATCCAGCCCAAAATCACAGCAATCATCACGCACAATCTCGTGAAGAAAGCAGAGGTCGAGCCCTACAAGAAACATATGGCTCTTCGTCCACACCACGAGTAAAGCGTGAGACACGTGGCCGTTCGGCCTCTAATTCGGATAGTGAGCTGCATCTTCCTGGAGCCTATCCTCGAACTACACCACATCTACCCACACTACGAACGCCAATAAGGACTACGCCCGGGCACCGACCTACTTTCAGCCAAAGCCCAAGGCTGTTGACCAAAGTTACTCCACAGCCAACCAGTATCAGCAAAGCGCCTGCACCTTCCACGAAAACCTGCATCGTATGCCACGAGCAATTCGTGGATGTGAATGCACCCTGTGTTTCTCACGCTGGGCGTAAGATTCGACAGGTAGACGGGTCAATTATGTGGGATTGTTGTGGCGAAGATGACGATCATCCTGGCTGTAACTTCTACGGACAACACGTTACTAAAGAGGAGCCTGATGGAGATGGTCTCATTCAACGTAAAAGACCGAGTGTATCACCGGGTCCGAGTCGTCCCACACAGAAGAGACCCCGGGCATTCTAGTGAAAACTCCAGGATCCTTCTAGATAGCCTATCGCGTTTTACGTCTAAAACCAAACGCAGTAGTTTTATGCTTTGATGATGAAGATCAGCAGAGTACGGCATTGTGGACTCTGGCTTGAAGTGGTTCAAACCATTGGCTCATTTTTGGTCTTGCGGGCATAGCTTAGGCGTTCTGGATATGAGGACTGATAAGACTGCGCAAACATTCAGCTGTTTGCAACTTGAGCCTGCATTGATTTAGGGAAATATCTGAGACACATCTTGGGAATGTCCCGTTATTAGATATAGCGGCATGCTATCAATATCGCCTTCACATGGGAGCGATTGTCTTATCAGTTCTTCATGGTTCTTTGGGAGAATCAGCATACGTTTGTCCTGCAAACTGACAGATATCCACTGTTGAATGTGGGATCGGTGCATCATCAGATTTTGGCTTTGTCGACTTTTAGGGTGAGTAGATACTTTTTGAGGAAGCAGGAGCCCATGGTTGACTTGTCTGTTGAAAGGGCAGTTCCGATTCGAAGCATAATGCGACTGTTGATCCGCTCCCATCAAAGGGCTGAAAGATCGGTTGCAGTTAATGAGGGCGCGGCTTCGACAAATCAGACTTTAGTCATATTCATTTATCTATGATAGGTACTTCTACCTCCCCTCCCCTGAGAGAGAACTTCTAGTAGTATACAAATCAGTCGATCGACCGGTTTGTCATTTGGCGCATGGATGTTACTCATGTTCCTGAATCGTTATCTGCGGGATGTCGATTCTGAACTCGTTCTTCTTGTGTGACGTCATGCCAAGTCTCTTGCCTGCATTATCAACGATACGCTAGCCTCCGTCTCTCCCACTTCTGCACGAGCTGTCAGAGCAAAGTACCAGGTGCAACGATATCTGCACTCCGCGTTACAATAACTTGCGAGATCGAACCGAAGTGTTGACTATATAAGTTTGCTAAGATGCCCTGTCATGGCGCATCTGAACTTTGCCTTAATATTAAGCTTTCGCGTCGCCTATCATGAGGCTCGCATCTTTTTTGCACTTTGCAACCATCGTGGAAGCAACTACCGTCTTTCAGCTTAACTCCACATCGTACTATTCCCCAGACCTTGTCGCAGCAACCCTCGCATTTGAGAACGAGAGAACTGAAGCGGTGCCAATTACCTACCTTTCTTTCGCCGAACCTACCCTTACTGCGGAGCTACTAGAATCGACCATCACTTCATTTCTTTCTCACGATGATGTGTACACAGAACCTTATCTCTCGACGCTGGTGCTTGGTGGCTTGGGTACCCTGTCGGACGGCGCGCATGCGTAAGAAAAGCTCCTGTACGAACTGCACAAGAGACACACACTGACTTCGTACGCGCACCTTTCAGGTACGTTACTTCGCTCGGATGCACTAAAATATATAGCGTGGTGGATGTCGACTTGAGTTCTGGTCCATATTTGCTCCACCCATCAAATGCTGTTACTAGGGTTTATCGACTGTATTGGGATCACAACTTTGCTTTCGTGGAATCTGTCACTGAGGGTCCAAATGGTACTTTCGTTCCTGTCACAGGTTTGGCTTTGACAGATGCCTATGGAGCTCTTAGTATCGCAGTGCCGTCTCGACTATACTATCCACTCCCCACAGAAGACAAACCATTATCAGGAAAGCGACTCGGGGTCAAAGATATCTACGACCTCAAGGGAGTTCGCACTAGTGGCGGGAACAGAGCGTACCGAGACCTCGTCAATCCTGCCCCTGAGAGCGCGGCAGCATTACAAAAGCTGATTGATCTGGGCGCTGTCGTTATCGGAAAGACGAAGACCACACAATTTGCGCTTGGAGAGCGGCCAACCGCTGACTATGTGGATCAGTTAGCACCCTTTAATCCCAGGGGAGATGGTTACCAGCATCCTCAAGGGTCGTCGGCGGGTTCCGGAGCTGGACTCGCATCATACAACTGGATGGACATTGCAACTGCGTCGGACACGGGTGGATCTGTTCGCCTACCAGCCATGGCAAATGGTCTTTTCGGCATGCGTGTCACTAACGCCTCACTGCCGCTTGATGGAATTCTACCCATATCAGCAATTTTCGATACGCCGGGCGTATTGGCTCGCTCGGCTCGGCTGCTACAAGCCGTACATAGAAGATGGTATCCAGCCAAGGTATATACGTCTTATCCCAAGCGTATCGTTTTACCCGACCTGTTCTGGCCCACTGTGAATGGAACAAGCATGCACATCTTCGATTCGTTCATCTCCCAGCTCGCTACCTTCCTTGATGCCAACTTGACAACCTTCAACGCCAATGCCAGCTTTAATACATACACGAACACTTCCGAAGGCCCGGCATCATACATTGGCTCCACATACTCTGATATCACCAACGTCGATCAATACCGCGACCTAGGTCTACCATTCAGGGAGCAGTACATCGCCAAGTTCGGCAGAGCACCGTATTGGAATCCACAAACACGAGCGCGATGGAACCGGGCTGCTACCTTGCCAACCTCCAGTTACACCACTGCTATCGAGCGCACAAAGACGTTTCAATCATGGTTTCGAGAAACTCTAACGCCCACATGTGAATCCACATTGGTGTTATATCCCATGGGCGCTGGTACAGAAGACTATCGTGACATATACACCACTGCACCGGGTGGTATCTTTGCTGCGGGGCTACCGTAAGCTCTTCTGTATGAATCACACTTGGCACATATACTAACTCTGAGTCTTTGAATATAGCGGGAATCAGATGTCTGTTTTGGCTGCACTGCCTGACTACACTATTCCAATTGGTGAAAGGACTTATTTCAGCAGGGTAACCGAGAGAAATGAGACGCTGCCTATTACAATTGGCATGGTAGCTGCTGCAGGATGCGATCATATGCTCATGGACTTCGTCGCTGAGCTTGCAGACGCTGGTATCATTTCTGGGGACGTGAAGACAGGCTCCAGTATGTACTGAGATGAGCGCAGCAAGTGGGAGCACCTCTACGGAACACAATACCCCGACGAACCGAGTGTATGCTTGTATACGCTACACATGTTGCAGGATCTGCACTGCATCGCTCTATCCCATACTTGTCTGAGCGCATCCTGTGCCGTGATTGGCGGACTAACGTTTTAGTTCCCTTGTCGATCATGAACATCTGGGGTAAATTAAAGGAACAATCCACCCTGTTTTGTCCACCTAACCGCGACTCAGGATGCTGTCCACGAGCAGCGAGCTGCAATATCGCTAGCTCTTTTCATTATTCCAAGGCATGCCATGTAGTGGATTCGTATAATAACACATTTGTCTGCCCATGTTTCTGTTTTTCATCGCGTCCATTATATCACCATAAACATGCATATATTTGCTCTTCTTCCCTTCCTAGTGGCTTCCGCCGCTGCCCTTGCCTTTCCAGGTGCAGAAGGTTTTGGTCGCAACGCGGCCGGTGGTCGTGGCGGTACCGTTTACGTTGTCACCAACCTCAACGACAGCGGTGAAGGCTCGCTCCGTGATGCCGTTTCCAAACCCGACCGCATCGTTGTGTTCGCCATCGGTGGGTTGATTAAGATCACTGAGCGCATGGTCGTGTCGAAACGCATATCCATTCTTGGGCAAACAGCACCTGGTGATGGCATTACAGTATACGGCAACGGCTGGAGTTTCAGCAATGCTGACGATGCAGTCGTACGGTATTTGCGCATCAGAATGGGAAAAGGAGGTAGTAGTGGCAAAGATGGCATCACGATTGCAGAGGGGAGCAACATGATCTTCGACCACGTCTCTGTAACCTGGGGCCGAGACGAAACTTTTTCGATATCTGGTTCAGAAGTCGGTAACATCACCATCCAGAACAGTATCATTGGGCAGGGTCTTCAGACACATTCTTGTGGCGGTTTGATGCAAACAAATGTCGGGAATGGTATCAGTCTGTTCCGCAACTTGTACATTGACAACAAGACGAGAAATCCAAAAGTCAAGGGTACGAATGACTTTACCAACAACGTTGTCTACAACTGGGGAGGAGGCGGCGGATACATTGCTGGAGATTCAAGTGCAGCGAGCGAAGCGAATATCGTTGGAAACTATTTTGTTAGTGGCCCGAGTACCAGCGTAACAGCCTTCACGCGAGGAAACGAGAACTTCAAGGGATACGTTGAAGGAAACTTCTATGATTCTAATCGCGATGGTGTATTGGACGGATCGGAGCTTGGTGTAGCATCCAGCAACTATGGCGGCATGAACATCCAGGCAGCAAAATTTCCTTTTCCGGCACCCGAGAAAGCCTTGTCAGCCAACGATGCGTTGACGCTTGCTGAGAAGTCTGTTGGTGCAAGCAAAGTCCGCGATGCGGTTGATGCGCGACTCGTTGAAGAGTTGAAGAGCTATGGGAAGACGGGAGAGTTGATCAGTGATGAGAATGCTAGTCCAATGGCCGGACCAGGAACTATTGATGGCGGAGAGCAATGGGTTGACGCGAACGGTAATGGCATACCCGACGATGTCGAAGAACAATTCAAAGACGTGGAGGAATGGGCAAATAGCTTAGTACCGAGTAGCTACTAGGTGAATTTGGTCTGCGTCGTTAGCATCATCTCGCACGACGCATCGGTTAAGTTTATTAACGATTGGCTTAATTCGAAGACTAGCGACTGCTGTAAAGACTGCATCCTTCATGTAATAAGACATCCGAGCACCTGCTTGAACTGACAACCGAAACGATAGCACACAAAGTTTTATCCATGTATGTTACACGGTGCTCCTCCAAAACCTCAGAGCCAACTATGCTGCGGCGATCTGAGCCCTCAAGAAGATGGGTGCCTGCACAGCAGCCTCGTCCGAGTACAAAAGATGTGCGGGCGTAATGATGAGCGTACCGGTGCAGACCAAGTCTCCAGTCTCGCAGTAAATCCTGGTCTTGCTGGTAGGAAAGTTGGGGATCCTCCCTCCATTCTGCAGGTTCTTAGTGTAGCCGAACAACACCACACCCTTGATCTGATTTTGCACAGCCGCACTGAGACCGGGGATCGCATTAGACATGACCGCAGCACCTTGAGAGTAACCACCTGCAGTGATGGGCGTGTTCGGGCATTTGCTCGCGGCAAGGTTGAAGAGACGCTGAGCTTCGCGGATGGCGGCTTGAGAAGTACCGGCTGGAAGAGTGTTCTCTGCGATACCGGCAGTGTAGGGGCCACCTACGCCCTGAATCCAGACGTTTGACGCCCCGTACGCATTTTCAAGAGCGTTTGCTGTGAAAGGGCCGACAAGTGCGCCCTATGATGGTCAATTACTGACATAGAGAAGTATGTGGTGGACCTGTTTGTGCTCACCATATTTCCAGCTTCGGTGCTTCCCCTTGCAAAGATAAAGATGGTGCGTGGGCATGCAGCGCTGCTTCCTGTCTCGAGCTCATTGCTGGTGGCACTAGACTGACGGGCTTCGAGAGTAATAAGTTGAGGCTCATCAGCGGGCGCAGTGACGGGTACTGCGACGGCGATGGGCGAAGTAAGAGCGAGAGAAGTGAAGAAAGAGAGGATCGCAAGATACTTCATATTGGCGATTGGGATAGCGATAGACTGTGCCTGATGGCTCTGGAAGGTGGGTATTCTGAGGAAGTTGAGAGTCGACTGCTTGGCTGAGCTGTGTCTCTAATCGTAACGCATCCCCTTCCTTTTATGCTCTTTCTTACATGTACAAGATACTGTCTTCACACTGGCACCCTCAACGACTGCCTCGGTATCTAAACTGCCTAGCATCTTGGAATGCATCTCTGATATTGATGAACGGACATGCTGTCCCCAAAGAGTGCTGTAGCCGTTCACATACCATCTTTGGGAGATCGAGATCTGGTGTTTACTGTTGACTGTCGATAGTCTGACCAGTAAGCATCTTGGTCGCATCTGAGCTTCCTCGGCCCAGGAATCTGTGCCTGGGATCTGTGTCTAGGCATGCATATGAAGTAGACATGGATGAACGGCTGATGGTGGGATGGATGGGTCGCGTGGTACGGGGACGAGGATTTGCTGCGGGATCGAAAGGACACTATCGAGCGTTGCGGTCAAGCTCGCGAGTCGAAGCCGAGGCACGGTTCAGTGTTCATGGATGCAACGAACCATCATCCTGGGTGAGATGACAACTCGTGATGTGGGGTGCATACATCGAAGGTTCCGTTTCGCGAGAATACGTACCCCGCATCACATCCACTGCAGAATTCAGAGAGCGCTAGAGACCCCAGGTAACGCGAAGCGAATGATTGCGCGGAAAATACCGGACTGCGATATTTGTAGTCTTGACAAAGGTCGGAACTCTGGATGTTGATTACCGCCTATCGTCGAGTAAAGGAAGAACGGCATGGGAACTTGGTACCTTCCCAAAAGAGAGTGTGTGCATTCAACGCATACATTGCAGAGGTGATTATCCCCGGGTTCAAGATCCTACTTTCGGCATTTATCTCAAAAGCAATCATGACTGCTGAATTGCGGCTAAAAGGCATTCATCAAGCGCGGGATGTCCCATCCCTCTTCACTGTCTACCCTTGCAGCGGACTAGCTACTGCATTCATCTTCTTAGGCGTCCGAGACTTTCGCTTTGGAGGACTCAGAGTTACATGAGACATGACATGTACACTGGCGCATACAAGCACGAAGACGAACGCATAGAATGCCAGGAGGTTTCGAGCCAAGACTAATGTGATCATGCCGTAGATCAAGCTGGAAATCGGCCAGAAGAACTTCTGTACGTACAACCAGGTATCGCATAGGTTGCAGAAGAGGTTTTTCAGCAACAGTTGAATGCGAGCTCGGTAAGCCTGAAGGTAGTCGTCCGTTGTTGGCGGCGCAATTATTCTCTCCCAATGCTCTCGACGAGCATCATGTGCCAATGTACGTACATCGAGAGATGTAGGCGCTCTTGTCTCGAGGAGGTACTCCCATACGATCTTCAGCTGTCTGTTCCAGCCATATGGTTTTTCTCGATGCATGAATTTTTCCCATTTCTTCACGGTCCCGACTGCCATCTCTTCAGTAACCTGAAACCATTCCTTGTGTACCGATTTATGTTTGTCGCAATGAAGCGGCACGCAATGGCTTTCCAGATCAGTATGCACAAGCTTTTCCAGCCGAGAACAGTTTTCAATCTCGTGATCCGAGACGTGGATTATATCAGCTGTGAAGTTGCAGCCCTTCTCATGTTCGATGATACGTTCTCTGAATACTCGAGTCGTCCATCCAATCTTGTAGCCTCCTCTCTTATTGTGCGGATCACACAAGACATACATGAAGCCTTTTTGATCAGTAGGAGTCAACTTTCTCCGTAGCTCCCTATATAGGCTATCGTGGGTAGATCTGGCGGTCTTCGGGGTCATGCCTGGTGAATGACTATTGTTGTCTTGACGGACTTGTCGAGTCGTTCTTTTGTTCGTATCGGGGGTCGATAGAGAAGCCGAAGACCTTGATGTGGATGAATTATCCACATCCGGATCCGGACTACCATCGGACCGCTGACGCTTTCGCGGAATAGATTCCCTGGGAACTCGAACTGCTTCTGCAGCAATTCGTTCTCGATCTTGGAACGGATCAGAGACGAACCGAGTAGACCGATTCAAACGAGTGTTGCAGGTAGCCGAATCAACTAGGCTGTGCGATCGGGTGGCGATCTTGCTGATGGGTGAACCAGTAGAGGCTAGAGTCTGAATGCGGTGGTACGAAGTCAATATACGACCCACATCCAATTTGTGCCGGGATACTCACTGTGGGGTCGCTGTTGGTGGCTGTGAGTCGTTGTCTCACCGCAGGATATTTTATGGTTGTGAGATTTGGATCATTAGGTTCAATTTTAGATTCTGATAGTGAGCTTGGTCTTGATCCATGCAACTGACGGAGGCAAGAGGTGTCTGAAGGGGTGCGGGAAACCATACTTGAGTGTGAAAATTATGGATGATAGATGATGTACGATATAGAAAACTGGCCATGTGGTAGAAAAGAAGTCCATACGCTAAGGTTGTCATTTAAACGTATCAGTTGTGTTCATTGAAGCGCTGTAGGATTGCTCTCCAGCAAATGCAGAGATCGCATGAGCGTACGTGTGGCGGTGCGGAATGTCACTGCTGTACCATTTGTTTCGCATGTTTCATAACGCATCCTCGCATTGACAACAGGGTAAGAATGGCACGTTCAACAACATCAGCCTCAATCGATACTGTCCATGTCTATTTTAAATCAGTAAACGATTCGGATAAGGCCGTAGTGAGTGATAGCCAGCGACGAACGATGTGGTCGTTCGATACCATCATTCGCAAGTACTGATTGCAGTAAGTTAGACTACGCCGTGTTTGTCTGGTGCAACAGACGTGCATATCCGACCGCTGTGCCCAGTCCAAGACACGTAGATACAACTAGGACGGATGTCTGATGGATGTCAGGCTGGTGATGGCTTTGGTCCCTACATCGCATTTGCTGTAGGCAAGGCTGCAATGTAGGAGCCTCGCAGCCTTCCTAGGATCGGTGCCATACTTGCGCAACCCAACAACCGAGCGTCTAGATTCGCAGTCTAGACACTGGACCTGTCTAGGATGATGAAGTGGCTTGCAGTGGCGGTGGCTGGCAATGCCATGGAAGAAGTAAAGACTGTGTTCTGGGCGCGCTGACGAAGGAGATGCAGGCAGCGACGTGGGGTGCGTCATACTGTGCTCTCTTCACATGGTCGAGGCGCCGATATCGAACAGTAGGATTCGTCCTTCAAAAGCGAGATAGGAGGGCCAAGGTGGTTGGGAGGGAGCGTGGTGTTTCGTCTATCCTTCGGTTCTTCCGAAGATTGCGCCTCTTCTTAGCGCCTGCTGCATTAGCGCGTATTCGTGGGAACACAGAGAAGGACCACGATGTCATCGACCTGTACCCCCATCATGGTTTGATCGGTGAACAAACTGCATCCTCTAATATTATTTGTGTCAATGACGCGTTTCCGCTTTTCGTCTTACTGTGAGCGGCAAGGCCATCCCGTCGGCATGCGTTTAACATCCCGAGCGCGCGCATGCAACCTAGCTCTAGTGCTACCTCATGCAGGAGAAAGGTCGAGCTGTGATGCTCCGGTGCGTGTAGGATACCAGATACTTCATACTGCGATGATGTTCTGCTCTCTCCCGAACACCTGCAATGGCCATCAGTGGGGTACGCTAGTGCGGCCGGAGCCAGTCGCCGCGCCGTTGCCGTTGCCTTTGAAGACTTCACCGACATTCGCCTCGCTGGGGACCTTTTCCATTGATGCCTAGGAAAACCGCGTAAGACATTGTATACATGCTCACTACTGCTCGACCAAGTGTTCATCGGCTGGGGCTCAGGTGGAAGGAATTGTTGTCTAAATAGGTCTTGACGCGCAAACGTAAGAGGCAAGCATTATGGCGTCCTTCCAGATCCCATTGTCTTCGGCTCCAAGATTTCCCGATATACCACCAATATCGCATTGCCATCGAATTTGGGTCAGTACAGCTTCAGATAGCTTCTTAGAATACAGCTGACCTCACCAGGATACAAGAGCAGCACAATTTACCCCATGTGCTCTGCCTTTTGTTGCAACTATACCAGCTATACTCGCGGCATTAGTACTGCTCAAGTACTCGCTACGGGTCATCGATGGGTATTGGCCAAGATGGACGAAACCTTTTGTACACGAGGCAAAGGAGAAGTCGAGTGAGGCAGAAACACCTTCGACACGTCGGCCTGTGATTGGGACATTTTCCCTCTTGGCCCTAGCTACGATCGGCCTGACATTCCAAATCCTCAATGTCTTCTTTCCCAGCCGTCAACCAACAGCTATATATCCAGCTATCGCATGGGTACGTGAGCTCTAGCGTAGCTGGGATTGTCGACTAACAATTGTTTTAGGCCATTACAGTGGCGATTATCCTCGTAGAGCGTCCAAGAAAAGCTTCTTTGCCACTGTTGCTTCTGTTCACGGGTCTCTTACTGGAACAGCTGGTCGCACTGTCCCATAGGTCATCTAAATTCCTAGCTAAGGATGTTCCCTGGGTCGTCGCGCCTGCGGCCGCTATATTGGGCATCATTACGATACTCAACATGCCTCTTAGAGATCCTGCATTACCAAGAGAAGATATCTGCCCTGCCTTTGACACCCCAACAGTGCAACTTCGGACTCCTGAAGACAACTTGACTCCCTGGCAGTACATGACGGTGTCTTGGATGGAACCGCTGATCAAAAAAGGTGTGACACGCCAAATGGAAGACGAGGACATCTGGGACTTGGGTTGGGAGTTCAAGCATGCTCGGCTCCACGAGGCATTCCGAAAGCTCCAAGGTTCGGTGACGAAAAGAATCTTTGTCGCGAATGGTATGGACTTAGTACGCACCACTGTCTTGAACGTGATACGATTGTGTGCGAGTAAGTCTAGAATCTAAATCCTCTACTTTGCTTAGTATGGATCTGACGAAAGCAGCTCTACTCACGCCGGTACTCTTGCAGCGAGTTCTCGCTTCCTTGGAGGACAAAAACAACAGCGCTACGATTACCTACGCCTGTGTCATCCTGGGGTTGCGTCTGATATCTGCTCAGTTGAACACCTTCAACCTATGGTACCAGAGACGAGCGTACGAGAGATGTAGAGGTGAGCTCATCACGATGCTTTATGAGAAGACACTCCATCGCAAGATCTTGGGTGCCAAACAGGAAGTCAAACAAGACCAAACCAATGGTCACAGTAACCATGAGGCACGCGCAACGAACGGCGTGAATGGTGGTGATATTGACGCAACGATCAAAGCAAGTCCCAAAAGTTGGTTAGGACGTCTGAACATGTCCGTCCGATCAGTCTTTACGAAGAGCGTCCAAGCGCAGGTCAAAGATGACAAAGACGCCGCATCAATGGGAAAGATCCTCAATCTGATGCGCAATGATGCGTACGAGATAGCACAACGCTTCTGGGAGTTTTCCGATATCGTTACTAAGCCTGCCGGTGCCATCTTTGCGACTATACTGATTTGGCGCATGCTGGGTTGGGCATGCCTGCTCGGTGTTGTGGCACTAGCAGCTTCACAGCTACTCAATATCGTCATTGCTCGCTTTCAGGTCCACTTCGAGAAGAAACGCAGAGTGGCAACGGACGAGAAATTGCAACGTACGAGCCAATTTATAGAGTCTATTCGTCACTTGCGCTGGTACGGCTGGGAAGGCGCATGGCTGGATGGGATACTGGAGTCTCGTCAAAAAGAGTTGCATCTTCGCATCATCAACATCATCTTTTCGACATCCCTCTCTTTCATTCTACGATTTGGTTCTGGGCTGTTTCCTGCGGTTGCTTTCTACGCCTTCACCAAGTTGGCCGGCCAAAACTTGCGCATTGATCTAATATTTCCTGCGTTTGATCTGTTTAACCTGCTGGAATCGTACCTTCGAGCATTGCCGCAACTCGTCACTACTTGTCTCAATGCATACGTCGCGATGGGCCGTATTGAGGAGTTCATGGCTGAACCAGATAAAGAAGAGACGGATGTCGTGCCAGAAGGATCTGCTGATCTCGGTCTCCATCATGCATCTTTTGCCTGGCCTGGAGTAGATCATAACGTCCTCGAAGACATCACGTTGTCTTTCCCTGCTGGGGTCACGGTGATATACGGCGAGGTTGCCGCCGGTAAGACAGCGCTGCTGCAAGCTCTTCTGGGCGAGCTTGATACAACAGCCGGTGAGCTTGTGCGCCCTGATCAGGTAGTTGCGTACTGCGCGCAGACCCCGTGGCTTCAAAGCATGAGTATTCGCGACAACATACTCTTCTCGTACCCCTATGAAGAGAGTCGCTACAAACAGACCTTGGAAGCATGTGCATTGTTACCCGACATGACTGAGCTCAAGCATGGAGACTTGTCAAATATTGGAGAGAACGGCATTGGCTTGTCTGGAGGCCAGAAAGCTCGCGTGGCGCTGGCGCGAGCTGTCTATAGCCGCGCAAAAGTGCTGCTGCTTGACGATCCGTTGTCAGCTCTAGACCACCAGACAGCCGAGTTCATCGTCGCCAAATTGTTAGCTGGACCATTGCTCGAAGGTAGAACAACCGTCCTTGCTACACATCGAACAGAAATATGCCATGGCATTGCGAAGCAATGGGTTCACCTAGAGCAGGGCAGAGCTACGATCCACGAACCAAGTCAAGTTGAAGATGCGAACGCACTGAAGCGCACTCAGACGAACGAAACTGAGGCAGAGGAGGACGCAAAGAAGCGAGAGGAAGAACAAGCAGCGGCTGTACCCGACAAGTTCATCGAAGATGAACAT